GAACTGTTTTAGTTAGCTGAACTGTTTTAGTTAGCTGAACTGCTTTAGTTAGCTACACTGTTTTAGTTAGCTACACTGTTTTAGTTAGCTACACTGTTTTAGTTAGCTACACTGTTTTAGCTAGCTGAACTGCTTTAGTTAGCTGAACTGTTTTAGTTAGCCGCTCTGTTCCGCTGTCATTTTCACTGTTGCATTTATTAGCTCTAACTCAGAGTCATTGAACCAGGATTTAGCAGGAACTCTGCTTCTTTAACTACGAAGCCACCACTGCCCGCACCGAGACACTGAATGATCTAGCCTAGCGGTACCTTTTAGCTCTTTTTGTTTGTTTCTGTTCCTTTAACTATTAGTGTTTATTGTTTGCCTTTTTTTAATTATATTTCTTCTTTAAGGGACTTGAGTGATGTTGTCTTTATTAAACCTGCGGTTCTTGTACCTTCTGCAGATCTTCTATGGAGCGCTCCGTCTCTTTAAGACGTTCTCGTAGAACCTGCTCTTTGGCGGAGATCTGAGACTCTTCACTTTCAAGTTCACCAATGTCAGACTCCAGACTGTGGAGACAAAAACAGACAAACAGTTTTCATGACAACACTGTCGGAGCCGTGACGACCAATCAAAGACTCCAAGCATCGAACCACAAACCCTCTGGTTTGGAGACAGCCTGTTCGTCCCACTGAACCAAAGCTCAACGACTAAGACAGTATTTCTGTAAATGTTGAAACATGTTTTACTACAGTTTGTTTTTAATCATCGTTCATTTTTTTATTGAACACATTTTAAAGTTCACTGAGTTCAAATATTTCAAGGCCGTTCAGTGCTGTTTAATTTATGACGTTCAAAACATGAAACCTGACGTAAACATCAGACCTGAGATTACACACACACCCACACACACACACACATTAATGTTGGCCATTTAAAACCTGGATGTAACAAACAATGGTAGGAAACAGTCAGGGAGGAGGACCAGAGCAGAGCGACTTCCTCTCTGACTGCCAGCACCGATACAACTTCAAAATAAAGTTCCTCTGGGAAACAAGGAATGTGTGTGTGTGTGTCTACAGTACATGTGTGTGTTTGTGTGTTTGTTGGCTGCTCTGAGCCACCGTGTTGTTTCTTCCCACAGTGATGAGCGTCAGCTGACGGTATCAGCAGCTCTGACCAGAACCGCGGCCCGTACCGGACCCTGCACTGTTTACTGTACAGATACAGTGGTTCCAGAACCCAGTGGTTCTGATCCAACTGTCAGCTGTGGTGATAAATGGGAGATATTTGAACGGTTCTCTAAGCTAACAAAAGAAATCTGAGATCCCGATGGTTTGGCGTCGGCCCCGGAGGTTTAACCACACACGTCCACACGGTTCCCGTCTTTTCCTAATCCCATCTGTCGGAGCTTCTGCTCACACACAGTTCATTATTTCACTGAAGCTGTTGGAGCCGTACTCGGTGCCAAGAATCACATAAAGGGACTCTTTTAAAAGAAGGAAAACATGCAGTAAACTGTGAAAAACGAGGGGGGAAAAAACCACAGAAGGTAAAAAAAAAAATCAAAATAACTGAAATCAAATGACTTTAATTTGGAAATACTTTAATTTAACGTTTGAATTTATTTGAGACCTTTTCTAAATGTCAATGTGGAAATAACAAATGAAAAAAAGAGCACTTTTTTCACTGCTTTGTTTTTGTAGCTAGGCTAAAGCTAACTATTTTTGCTATATTTATTGCTAGCTTTGAGCTGTTTTTGGAACGAAATTCTAGAAATCCGTGAAGCCCTGAGTTTTAGTAATATTGATGGAGTTTAGCTGTGTTTTATTTTCCATATTCTATGGCTAACTGTAAATGACTAATGCCAAGCTAATATTTGGGTAATTAGCTCTCATACCTCTTAGCCGCTACAGTACCTGTTGCCAGGGAGTAAATTTACATTAACTGACGTAAGACAAGGAAAAGGTCAAGTTGGACATTTTCACTGAAAACTACCACAAAACTGTACCGTTCACAGATCAAAACTCCAAAATATTCAATGACAGTTATACGTTTTATAGCGACCTTCAGTAATAAGTACTGAATCAAAGATTACACCCAGTCACAAAGACCTTTAGGCTCGGTGCTAATAGCTGACAATGCTAACAGTTCCAATCATCCAAGGTGATCGCGATAAGCTGCGTTTTCAAGAACAATACACTCTTCAAACATGTGTGTGTCTTGGATGTGGACGCTGGATCTGTGAGGCCATAAATAATGTTGACTCTTAAAAAAAAGAATTATTTGAACAATAATTGACCTCAAACTGTGGGGATTATTTCAAAGCAGACAATGGTTGAAGGGCAGGGTGAGATCAGTGGTGAGTTATAAAAAGAAAGAGTCAGGCTGTTGTTGAATGTCTGTCAGATGAAAACAGGCTGCCAGTGTTTACTTTGAGCTAAAGATGATATAAATAAATAAATCTACTTTTTGTCGAATGTGTGTGGAATCTGTAGCTGCTTCAGCCAAGGACAATAAACTGGGTCTAAAGATATCAAAGGAAAAAACATTATCATTAGCTGAAAGTTAGCTAGAAAAACAATCCAAAGTTTAAAAAGGTCTTAAAGGCTACAATACTGAATATATAAACATTTGTTTGTTGTTGTAGTGAAAGTTAGCCAAAACTAAATATAGCCTACGTGTGCTGTGTATATATGTGACCAGTATTTTCTGTACTATTTTTAAAAGTTTTCAGAACAACAATTGATAGTTTGCTTGGAATTTAATTTAAAGTTGGTCAAATTAGCTAGAAGTTTTTTAGTTTTTTAGAAGTACAACAACTGTAAATTAGGTTGTAATGTATGGCATGACAACGTTAGCCTCAAAGTAGCTGAAAGTCTGAAGACTT